TTTATTCTTCACATGTTAACAACAGGACTAAAACTTACTCAGAGTATTATTCTGAGGACTAACAGGACAATAACCATAAAAAGTTAAAGGTCGTTCTGAGTCCAAAATATGTAAGTTTTCAGTAAGTGTTAGAATTATTAACTATAAATATCACACAGTTTTCTCAGCAAGTTGGTTGACTTGGTTACATTTGCTTTTGACAAAACAAGTATTTTATACCTCTTATTCATTCAATAAATGCTAAGTCTTCTGAGAATAGTCTACTTTGGATGCCCTCTACCCCTTTTAAGACCAAAATATCTTTTCCTATTAATATCTTTTCATATTAAACTGGCTGGATTAAACCAGCCAGTTTTTTCTATTTTATTATTTAGGCATTTGTTTACTAATTTAGATTTTTGCATTTAGCTTTTTAAGCTGTGTGAAATGCAATTCAATGGGATAAACTAAGGCTTTAATTGACCTTTTTCTTCTAAAGCTAAAGCAACCCTGTTAACATCTGTTCCTTGGGGTGGGGGCAGGGAATCTGATTCTTTTGTTTTAAGACAGGCTGGCCTTGAATATGCCATTCACCTGCCTCTACCTCCCTAGTGCTGAGGATGCAGCTGTGCACATCCTCTTCTGGTCTTCAATACTAGTTCTTGAATTACATTTATAACATTCTGAAACACCTAGAAATGCTACAATCCCTTCCTTCTTTAAGTTTTAACTTAATCTTCCTTTAATTCTTTGGCATTAATTTTGGTCCAATTTTCTACCTAAACAAGGAGTTAACTAGAGATAGGATAAAATCTAAAAGTTAACTTAAAGAGAGCTTTTGTTCATAAAGGACAAGTCATATATAACTTGCTAACAAAATGCCCAGTATTTTTCAGGATGAATCTATAGCTTTAGAGATTTCATTTTTAAGATCTTTGAGGGGTTTTTGTAGTTTCTATGTATGTGACATTTATCTGTTGTTTTTTTCTTCAATAACTTGTAATAATTATCGTTTCTAGCTGTAATAGTTGACTTTTGTATACTTACAGTTCGCCGTCAATCAAGTCACACAAGTTTCCTAAATTAGCATTTGGAATATCAATGGTGACCATCTGGTCTCATACCCTATTTACTGCATTTACCAAAACATCAAGAATGTAAAACAGTTATGATTAAAAGAGATCGTGCCTATGGGTCCTGATTTTACAAGAAAAATCTGTAGGTTAGACGCCTACAGGTCACCCACATACTACCTTCCCTCCTCAAAGAGAACAACAGAGAACTACCAAATCTTACATAATATGTCATATGTATGTATTTGGATTTTCCTTTAGCCTTAAAAGCATTTTTTCACACGCATGAATATAAAAAATCATTATTGTCCTATTTATAATGCAAATGTACTTTTCCCTTTATTTTATATGATCATAGTGGTTTTTATTCAGTACATTTTATTAACTTATTAATCTTGACCAATATCCAATTATTAAGCTATCCTTGAGAACTTGGAGACAGCTCTAAGTTTCTTTCTAGAATGCTCTTCATCTCTATTTTTCCACATTTGTTTTGAAACTTTATGGTCATTTTGTTCAACATGTGAATCTTGACTAAATTTTTCTTTTAAAAAAATCTCACCTCATTTTTCCTGACTTCTGATGATTTAGAAAGTATAATCATCTATTTCATATGTATTACCTGTTTTACTTATATCAATCTCTAGGACGAAATAAAAACTACAACCTAGACAACAGTTATAGTTACATGCCTTTTTCCTCCTTTGTAAGTTAGAATGCTTTACTTAATTGTTGAAAAACATCTGTTTTGCTACTCACATAGGCATATAAAGACAATCTCTGGCTTAGAATTTTCTTTATGATGGCATGAAAGAAATATGCATTCAGTAGAAACCGTAACTCAAATTTTGAATTACAATACTCTTTCAGGATGCTGGGCAGGAGCAGTGAGCTGCAGCTACCAGTCACCCCACAGTCATTAGGAGTAACAGCCAATGCTCTAGGGTGAACTGGATGGCTAAGTTGATGTTGAGTAGGTTAAGAGTGCAAAGTGCATTTTCAACTAATGATATTTTCAATTTACAGTGGGTTTACTGGAATATAAGGTCATCATAAGTCAAGGAACAACTGTGTATTTATCTCATGTAAATCTTCAGAACTTATCTTTGCTGTATATAACTGAGAATGTTCTCTATATTTAACTGATTTTAAGGCTCATCCAATAATATTTTCAGATCATAAATTTTCTACATTTAACATTGGTTCATGTCTGAAAATCATGTTACATCTTCAACTAAAACATCTTCAATAGTTACTTTTATCAGAAGGCAACACTGGTTAGTTCTCTGCAAACTCACAATTTTTCCCTAAGTACTCTACAGATATTCTCCCATTGTCTTTTGAATTGTAGTGCTTTACAGAGGAATCTAAAATGTACTTGATGTTTTTCTGTTCAGATATTTGTAAATTTTATTTTTCTCTTGAAATAAAAACAAAAATGTTTCTAGGTACAGTTCTCATCTCATAAATTTTATCTGGAATGCAAAATATCTCTTGGTAGATATTTTTTTGAACCTCAGGAAGGGCTCTTCCATTAGTACCGTCTGGGAACACTCATCTGTGGATCAGTATCTCTGTATTTCTTCATTATTGGTTATTTCTTTCAGTTTTGCCCATTTCTTCTCATGGAAGAATATCTCAGATTTGTCTCTCACATCACTGATTCAATTTTTCCATGATGTCAGTTCTAATATAGGCCCACTGAAGGCCTAGTTTGGGCCCGAGGTGATTTTAAAGAAGCAGCTGATAAAAGGTCACGGACTTTCAAATTGCAGAAATTGTGGACTTAAATTCCTCTTATCCTATTTCTGACCAACTGATCTGGACAAACCACTTAATGTCTTTGTCTATAAAACTTCTCATGTCCAATACCAGCCTTGCATAATTGACATAATTAACACTGTAAATTTTTATCAGTGTCTGGTACACAGCCGGAACATAATAAGATAAACTTGCCATCAATACAAATTTTCTTAGTGTGGCTTTTTTCCTTTTCTTAATTTTGTTTTAACTATTTTGTTTTTAATCTTAGCCTGTTACATACTCTTTGTTCTAGAGAGGTCCTGTCTCTTCAACTTTTATTAAAAGAGGTAGAACTGAGTTGTGGCTAAGAGAGTGGATTCTGCAGTCAGATTGCAAGTGTTTAAATCCTGATTCCACCACTTAATAAGCACCTTTGGGCAAATTACTCTACCTCTGTGACCTAATTTCCTTGTCTATAGGGATAAAACCTCACGAATTCTGTTGCTTGCATTAAATGAGTAAATACATAGCGTTCAAAAGAGTATCTGAGACATAGGAAGCACTCAGGTATCCAGTAAATGAAAGCAAATATACCTCTTCTACTTCCTGGAGTTAGTCATTTCAAAAGTATTTTACTTTCCTTTAAGCACTCCAGGGATGTTTACCCCTTTTGTGCTGGAGAATCTCTTCCTATTGTTTTTCCTAAAGTACTTATTTCTGGAGACAAATAAGTCTATTCAGGGTAGGTGTCTGCCAAGAAAAGATGGGTTGTGCTTAGTTACTTACACTTGTGCGCCCTCAGCATCTGAACTGGACCTTGGGTAAGTTATAAACGTAACTTCTGCCCACTTTCTGGTTATCCACTTAATTTAAAATTCTTGCCTAAACTGTAATTTCTTCATGGCTCACAAAACCCAGTTCTCTAACAGTGAGAGAAAACACGAGGTTCTTCCTTAACCAAGCAAGTTCATAAAAACACTCCGAGTGCCACTGTTTCCAGGGTTTTTTCTGCATTTGCCCGATGTAAAGCATCCCCGCCTGAGAGGACGGCATATACCAATACACAATGCTCTATCTTCCATAAGCCACTGTTTTCTGCCATACTGCAAACTGGTACCATCAGAAGAAACACATTCTGCTTTACAGCAGCAGGAAATATCTAACCCATCAGTATTTCTAAATTGGTACACAGTAGCACAACAATATACTATAAACTCTTACATGTCTGAGGCTAGATTTTGGCCAATATTTTTTCTTATATTTGCCTCACTTGATAATATATATTGTTACATCAATGGCTGAGAGAATACTAAAATGAACAGGTTTCATGACAACATACATATAGAAAGGGGTAAAACTTGCTATAAGCAAAATATAGGAGATAACTATATCTATCTAGCTATCTAGCTATCTATCTATAATTTATTATAAAACTCCTGCCAAATAAAGACATCTATCTATCTATCTATAATTTATTATAAAACTCCTGCCAAATAAAGACTATGTACCATTTGCCAGAACATGCAAGTACTTCCTTGGTATTTATGGGTGGAGGAATGGTAAGAAAATAAAAGATTATGGTCAAAAGAGAAAAGGTACACCAGAAATAGTGAGACAGGTATGAAGAATGAACAGTGTGCTGTGGTCGCTATTACACTCTTCACAATACCCTGGGAATCAGGTTATAGTTAGTTGCTGATTTGTTTAGTTTTCTTTAATTCTCTGTTTTTAATCCCTTAAAGTGTGCTGCCAAAAACTGCTCATTTAAAAGGGTGCCTCAAGCATAAAAGGATAATTACTGCTTTAAGATCACTGATTTCTCTTAGTTCTGATGTGTATAACAACACAAAATAACAAATAAAAGCCATTGAATCTCTAAAGATACTACTTTCTAAGTTCTTAACAATTCTGAGTCAAAAACCTTTATTTTCCTCAAGAACATAGAAAAATAACATGGCTAGTTTTGTTTCTTCTTTATCTCAGGTCACCCTCACCAATGTGTCTATGTTCCTGTAGGACAGCAGCACTCAAGACTGAATTAAATATTCCAGGAGTGATATGGTTCTAATGTAAACTTGATTTTACCATGTGTTATGGATCATAACTTACTGTTTTTAAGTTCTAAAACTCCTTAGTATTTTAGTATGAAAGCCATAATTTTATGTAGATATTTAAGTCACCATTACCAAATGACCAATTACTCACTGAGATGTTTTCTCTAGATTTGGCAAGTTTTTTCTTTAGTTTTTTTCTTTCACGTATTAGATCATTGTGGGCCTTAAATAATTCTTCAAAGCGAACTTTGGTTTTTACTTTGGCTTCACTCTCAACTACAAAAGATAAAACTCATGTCATTTTCTAAACAACTCTATTATAACACAAACCTACATTAGTATTGTGTTAAGAAATACAGTGTTATAAATATCTGCATGAGTTCTCTAGCTATATTAGAACAATTGAGCAGTCCCTCCTTCCTAAAATATTTTTTCTGTTAGTTTTGTTAACACCAATCTCACTTGTATTCCTCTTACCTTTTTGGTCACTCCCTCTAAAAGTCTACTTTGCTAAGTTAATGTTTTATTACTGATACACAGTAGCATCTATCACTGTTAGTCACAGCCTTAGAAAAGTTTCTTAACATCTCTAAACTTCATTTTCCTTAAATGTAAAAATTACAATAACCTCCATCAAAGATCACTTTGCATGAAAAATGACTAATAGACTGTAGTCAGTCTTCAACAAATATAAAAAGCTATTTTTTCCCTTAAAACACAAATCAGATGTTATTCCCCTGGTTGAGATCCTGTGGATTTCCCATTTCACTTAGGATAAAACAAATCAAGACAAATGTCTCCTTAGATCCCTACATCTTAGCCATCCTTCCATACTTGTACCTCCTCTGTGAGAACAAGTTCCTTCTCATGTGAATGAAGCTGTTTACCTACTGCAAGTTCTCTTCAACTCCTCACCTGACTAGTGTTAGGCTACCTATTGAAGCGTTGTCTCTAAAGCAGACCATTTTCTAACAATCTCATCTAAACTTTCCTGTTTCTCACTTAGTAGGCTATTCTTTTCCTTCACAGCACTTAACCCAACTGGAAAATATGTCATTATTTATCTATGTAACTAAATCTATTGTCTATCTCTCCCACTATACTAGGTACTTTACATCTATATCTCTAGCTGCTAGCCTGAGGTCTGGCACAGAGTAGATAATAAATGTTTTAAATAAACAGGTAATGAATGAATGCATGGATGAATGAATGAATGATCCAGAGTAGCTGTAGGAAAGCTATGGCCTCTAGGTCAGTCATGTGTTTTTGTCAGTCAAGTTTTGTTGAAACCAGATGCACTCATTCAGTTAAGAATTGTTATGGCTGTTTTCATACTTCAGTGGAGAGCTGAGGAGCTGCAGCAGAAACTAAATCTAAAATATTTACTACTGCCTCTAAATGCAGATTTGTCTAATGACATCTACTTTATTTAATAATCTGTTGAGGAACCCCTTAAAATGAACCAGACTTAAATGTACAAAGAATTTTTTTTTTTTTTTGGTGGTACTAGACTTTGAACTTAGAGCTTCATGCTTCCTAGGCAGGCACTCTACCACTTGGGCCACTGCACCAGCTAAAATATGAATTTTATACATAAGTTTCATAAGGTCTTACCAGTAGGCATATCTCAGCTTTCTGGCGAGCACTGAAAAACACTGCAAAGCACTGATTCAGTCAGTATCCTATTAAAACAAAGAGGATTTATTTATAACATGGACCTTCCAAATAAAAATGATAAAACATTCTTCATGCAAGATGATTCCATGGTCTATATCCGTAAAGCTACATCCTCTTATTCCAAATTTATGCACATGACTTGAGTACATCCATCAGGTTAGGTCCTGAAACTAGGTTCAGCAAACTGGATCATATTTGAATATTCATATATTTGACATAAAAAACTAAGAAAGGAAGTAACTTGGTACGTTAATACACTTTTAAAAGTGTCTTAATAAGTTAAAAAACATTTTAACATGCTTTTAAGAAACCACCTCTACCTCAGGATAAACTTTCCCAAGAGCATACACCACCACATTAATAAAACACACTGTGGGTAGCCCACTCAGACAACAAATTTAAAATCTGTGTACATGGCACTAAAAATTCTGCTACAATAGAGGTTAGCACAGGCATATGTACCATCTTTCTCTTATAAATACCTTGATGTGTATTGTCAGAACTATTTAAAATCCTGAATAGACCCAGTAAGTATATTCCTGAATTGTCTTTTTTTTTTTGGTGGTACTGGAGTTTGAACTCAGGGCCTATACCTTGACCCACTCCACCAGCCCTTTTTGTGATGGATTTTTCAAGACAGGATCTCCTAAACTATTTGCCTGGGCCAGCTTCAAACCAGTATCCTCCTGATCTCTGCCTCCTGAGTAGCTAGGATTATAAGCATGACCACCAGCAAAATACGGAGGTATACATGTGAAATGAATATACTAATTACTACATCAGACACAATATTCAGACATTTTCAAGAATAAAACTGAAGCCTGTAAAAAAAAAAAAAAGAAAAAGAAAAAGAAAAAAACATATTAACATATTGGGCTGGCTCAGGCATCACTGGTTAACGCTCCAATTCTCTTGGGATTCAGGTTTACATTCCTCCAATAGTAAAATCTGAGAAGAAATGCTAAAAAAGAGTATGATTACACAAACAGACCTACCTACTCAAGTACATAACAACCATCTGGCACACAAAGTAGATATCACAAAGTCCATGCATAAAAACTCCTGTAATTTTATGAAAGAGCCTGTATTTGTTTTTTCTAGTAGATATAGACAGAATAAGGCTAGTCATTCACTTTCCGATTCATACCATTTAGAAAAGAGAAAGGCTGCAAAGGCAAGTGCAATAGCAGCATCAGTAACTGAAACCTGGCATCACATGTATAGAAAAATTATAAAGCAAATAAGAACTTAATATTCATACTACTCTATGGTCACTCAATATACAGGAAAACAGCTAGCTATATTATGGCTAGAATATCAAATACTTACTTAGATTGGGCAGGATGTCTCTTGAGCAAAAATCTTACCTGACATTTTAGAAAGATTGAAAAACTAATTAAGAGGAAGGATGAAGAATTAAGGGTGACTTTCATGTTTCTAGAACTAGAATAAGTAGTATTAACTATCACTGGAGTAGTTTAAAACCCAAGTCCTAAACTACTCTCCCAAAGCTACCTCTGTGACATTTTGGCTTCCTCATCTGTAAAATTAGCCTGATAGTGCCTAGTCAAAGGGTTGTTTTGTTATAAGGGTTAAACCATTCAGAACAGCACCAATAAATATTAGCTACAGTTATAATAGGTACTTCTTATAGGGGCAGTGAGCTTTGTGTAGGGCACGATGGCTGGGTATCTGAGGGGAACTGAGGAATAACGACCATCAGCCTCATCATTAGACCTCTGGATTCAAACCCCAGTTCCACCTGCCAGAAGATTAATCTACATGAACCAAAATTTCCTAATTTTTCAAAAATGAATAATAATAGTAAATTGTTCAGTTTTATAAACATTAAATGAGAATATGCCAAGTATTTTACTTGGCACAATATTTAGCACATGGCAAGCCTTCAAAAATATGTGTGTGCATATATATATATATATGTACACAGTAATAACAGTCATCATACATTGTTATTACAACATAATCTAATAATCACATTATGTTTAGTAGGCAATAGAACATATTAATCTAGCAGAGAAAGCTGTGCTAGAAATTTGGGAATCAATTATATCCATACTGGTTGCAAGAAAATGAAATGTCAAAGGCAGAACTCTGGGAGCCCACAAAATAAACCTGGCATCCATAGGCTTAAGAAGCATATGGAGTTGAGAACTGTAGGTAGGGCAGGTAGACAATTCTTTCTAGAATTCTCTTCTAGGGTCAGGACAGTGACATAAGGCAGAGACTCTGAGGGACAAAAAGACTGTGAAAGGATTAAGATTGTTTCCAGGGTTTTGTGGATGTAGCTCTGTGGTAGAGTGCCTGCTTAGCAGATATAAGGCCCTGAGTTTGATCCCAAGTACCACACACACATAAAAAAAAAGACTATGCCTCCATCACTTACCCCTTTTACTATGTAAGTCATTCTCTACATTGCAACTAGAGTAATTTTGTAAAACATAAATGTACTGGTGTCATTTGTTTGTTCAGAACACTTCACTAGCTCCTAATCACTTGCTAGGAAAAGTATTACGTTCCTACTATTGGAGTCCATGGCCATTTATGAAATGACCCCTTCCTTTCTTTAAACTTCCTTCACCAGACACACTTTACACACCTCCTGTGCTCCAGCCAAATGAAATGCCCAGGTTCTCTCAAATGTGCCACATTAATCTTGCCTTTGTACCATTACATCCCTCTTCTGAGAAATGCTCTTCCACTGACATAAAGACAAATGACACTTTCCTTTGCTTCACCTTACAGGGGGCATTTAAGTTCTTCACTTGCTCCCAGGGTTCTTTAATCTTCATTAATCTGCTTACCTCAACACTTAATTTTCACCCTGCTAAAAAATGTTGTGATCTCCACCACAATGCTAGCTTTTGGAGGACCAAGCCTGTGCTCTCTTTATCTACATATCTCAATTTTTTTTAAATGGTGACAGCAACAATTATTCTAGTCAAACAGGCTGGGGCTTGAGCTCTTGCTCTGTCATTTATTGATAATTGGCTCTGACCAATGTACTTAATTTCGCTATGCCTTCCTTTTTTTCTTGCCTAGAAAATTAAAATGGTACCTACTCTATTGTGAAAAGAAAAGAAAAATATCAAGTCGAATAATCTCACATTGCAGATGCTCAATAAAATTACTTTGTGTCCACTTAATAAGTAAATAATTACAAAATAAATGAAATTCAAGGTTAAGTAAACCTATGCATTTGTATTATTTACTATTTAATAATTTGATGCACAACAAAATAAGCACTAATGCCATTTAATGATAACACAGGAAATACATTGCAGAAATAATTATCTCTAAATGTTAATGTGTATTACAGCAAACACATTGCAGAACAGTAATATTTGATTGATAATACCTGCAAAAATTATGATCAGACTTAATAAACTATCCCTGAATTTTATATATACTATTATTTTAAAAGCTCTTCCTCCAAATTCTTTTCAGGTGCTTCTAGAAGATACTACGCAGGAAAATTAACTGGATTACGTTTCATTTTATTTCTCCCTGACCACCTGATTATAACGCAATATATGACTGAAAGGGCAGAAAAAAAGCAGAGAGGTTTGGATAATTGCTTAACAGAATTTTATAGCAATGGGGAAAAAAAAGACCTTGTTAACATAATTCAATTAGTAAGTCAACAATAAGTCTTCGTAAATAAACAAGATTCTAAGCATGGCTTACAATACGCTTTCAGCGTTTGAATTTCTTTCATTCCTTTAAAAAATTTCCCGGTGTCCTGATAACAAGCTGTAACAGCAATGGGTGATGCAACAGGTGAAAAACCTGTTAGCACCCCCTTCTGTAAACCAGGGAAAGTCATTTTCCAGTGATGCTCAAGTGCTGCGCAACCATTTGGTGGGGATTCCTAAATAGCCTACGACTTCTTTTCCACGTTTGCGCATACTGAAACGATCCTCGTAATACAATTTTGACTCTTAGAAACGCCATGCGTCAATCGCCTCTTCTCAGACGTAACGAAGAAGGCATTTCATAGGTCCAAGCTCCAGGCTGAATCTCTAAAAGGAAATGAATGCCCTTAAGCACCCATCTGTTGGAAAAGCACGACCGGGGACAGGAAAGGCAAAGGCTCAGCTCCCGGTGTCACAGGAAACACGCAACGCACGCGGAGCTCCTCCGGGAGCGCATCCCTTGCTCCGCGCTCTGCCTGCGTGGCGCAGTGCGGCCCCGCGCTCCCGGCCTCCAGGAGTCCGGAGACCATCGCCCTTCGAGCGGGCCCGGGCAGGCCAAGCGCCCGGACTCGGGCTCCCGCGACCGCGCACCCGCGGGGTACTCACGGAGAGGAGCGCGCACCACGCGGACCGTCCCGCCCGAGCCCGCAGCCGGAGGGAGGCGGCCGCCCAGGTAGCCCAACCGCCAGCTCCCGGCGCTCTGTGAGCGGGCCCCGTGCCGCAGTGCGGGCGGCGCACCGCCCGCTGACGTCAGGCCGACCTCCGCCGCTGTTCCCTTGACAACCGGCGCGGCCCACACTCCCGGCCGGACCGCGGCCGCGCCCCCGCGCGGGCCCCAGAGGTGCTGCAGTGCGGCAGCCCCAGCGGGCACGCGCCTCTGGGCCGCGCACGCGCGCGCGCCAGAACGTCCGCTAGCTGCTTGAGCCCGTTTCTGCCTTCAGCCCCGAAAGAGCTCTGCGCCTCAGAATTGTGACAAGAGCGGGGATAAACACAGGTGGCATAGCCAGACGGGGAGGCTGTCGTGGAACCCGCCCAGGGTAAGGAACTTGAATGAATGGGGCACCCAAGCAAAGAAGCAGACTTGTCACCCCCCACGCGTTCGCGCCCACAAAATGAAACCCGCTTGTAAACGTGGAGCAAGAAGAGTTGTGCTACAGACAAAAATCACAAGGAAAAAAATGAGCCACAGTTCGTCTAGCGCCGAGTTATCTCACTATGTGTTGGAAACAAAACAAAAATTACAACGTCATCTTTTCTTCACCTAGTGCCCCTCCCCCTCGCTAATTTCTACTATAGGCGCCATCTTTGAGTCTGAGTCACCGGGGATGGAAAAACACTAGATGCTTTATTCCCCCAACTCGAAAACTGGACGCCATTTTCTGTAGTCCTGAGCGTGCCCTGTAACCTGTTGCTTCATTTGTCCAGTGACAGAGCTACGTATATTTCTTTGGAGACTAGCTTTTCCATTCTCATTGGTATCACACTTTATACAACAAATCTCATCTGCTCAAAATCCTATGAGGAGACAGAAGCTTTACCAGTCCCGCGTGTGTCAAACTGAGCTGTTGAATTTTCCACTCTAAAGCTAGTCCCCTTCTTGGTATCTAGCTTGGTTTAAAACCACCATCATCCTCGCAAGTGTCTTAGTAAATCACTGTTACCCAGCAGCTGGCTGGGGTCCCCGTACCCCACCAGCATAGGAATCCCTGGCAATTCCAGGCCCTTGAGCGCTCAAGATCCGGGGACCTGCCTGGCAGATCCGAGGCTTACAGCTCCAAGCCCTGAGAGCTAGGGACCTATTGCTCCAGGCTTTAGGACCTGGAGCTTTATGGCTTTAGGAAGTCAGATTGGAGGCTTAACATCTCTGAGCTTAACCACCAGTGGCCTGGCACTTGGCAGCTATGATGATCCTCAGCTTCCAGTAGCAGAGAGTGGTGGCAGCAGACAGCAGTGAGAGCAACAAGTGGGCCTTCTAGTGTTGAAACTCTCATACTGGCCTCTGATGTGTGGACCTTCAGCCCAACAGTGATAAGCATAGCTCTCAAACCTAAGGCATCTGAGACGTTGGCGGCTCCCTGGTACTCTACTAGCCACTCGAGCCTATAGTTTCTCATCCTCAGCTTTTCATAGCCCTCGGTCCCCCATTGTTTTTGCCTCAGGTACTCTCTGGAACCCTGTCATGCTGCTACAGGGGTGGCAGCTGCTGCCTTCACTGTTTCTACTAATCTTCCATCTCTTCTGCCAATCTCTCTTCCTGTTACCAGCTCAATCTGTTCTAATCATAAAGATTAAAAAGTAGACAAGAAGAGGACACTTGAGAGGAGCCTTTTATTGGGCCTAGTGTGCTACACCAGGGACAGCACAGGTAGCCAGAAATGGGGGTGTGGAAAGGGCTTCTGCACCTTTATACAAATATAGGACTGTGTTTGCACCAATCATGGCACGGTTCCCCACACAAATAAGGGATCATACTTGTACCAGTCACAGAAGTCCCTCATGCAAATGAAGGCTGTGTTTGTGCCAGTCATAGGTCTTATGCTGGGAGCCACAAAGGAAACTTCCCCTCTGGCCTGGGTGGAAGTGGCTGCAGAATCATCTACAGTTCATCAAGGCTTATCATGGCAAAAAGTCCAGTGCAAGCTGTTTGAAACAATAATGACTGAGACAGTGCCTTCAGGAGCGGGAGTTGCCCTTTAGTTGCAAGCAGCTGTAGTTGCTGTGTAGCTTCCTCAAGGTGTCTGTGCAGTGTTCAAAGAAGCTGATGCTGGCATGAGGGAAGTTTGGCTGGCTACTTGGGTAATGGTCCTTCATTGAAGGCAGCTTGGGCCCCAGATAGAGGTCTAACATCTGACTATGAGGGAGTCAAATTTCCCTGGTCCCCAACATCTTAGCTTATTTAGAGGACAAATAAAGATTAAAAGGGGTGTTTACTATAAAAGCCTATCATTAGCAGTGATTTAAGTGCTTTAACACTGGGACTTAACTTCTGCCCAAGTATCCCAAGAAGGGAAGGTCTCTCTAATAGTAGAGTAGGCTACCATTAGAGTAGCCTAAGTATATCATTCACCAAATCATGTCTATTCTATCTTTTTAACAACCCACTGTGTAGCTTATCCACTCTAACTGTTCAGCCTAATGCCACTCTTCAGACTTTTCATTGAGACTATTGTTGGATGGCTCCTTTACCAGTTCCCTGATTCCAGTTTTGACTACTAAGTTCCATTCACACTGCTACCAGAATGACCTCATTAAAAATCAAGCTAATAATACCAAACCCTCCTTCTAAAATTCTTCAAAGCCTATATATAAGAGAAAAGCTAATTATTTTCCCTGGTATACAAGATACTTCAACTCTCTGACCAGTTTCATCTCTCATTACCTTTTTGTTTCAGTTTTATAGAATACTAAATCATGTGCAGCATGCTGTTTTATACTATATTGAATTATCTGCCCCGTGTCATTTTATGCATTTGATGAATTATGTATGCAAAACAATCTGTATCTTTTCATGTCCCAGTTCTTGCATATTTGTCCCCCTCTCTAAAAATCTCTCCATGTAAACTTCTACTCCTCTTCCTTTGAGTCTTAAGTTGTCTAATTCCTGTGAATATTCCTGCTATACCCTACTAGTCTCAGATACTGATTCTATATATATTATTTTCATTGTTCATATTGTATTTTAATTTCTCCAACTCAGCATGTACCACAGTATCTATCAAATAGTTAATACTTAATGAGCATTTGTTGAATGAGTAATAGATGACATATACTGAGCTCCCTCTACAGCAGTAAATTGTGTCTTATGTACTTTTCATCTGTCCTTATGTCTGCCACTTAAGTACCCAATTTTGAGAGGTTATGGCTTGGGTTATTCATTCTTGGCCAAGCTGTATTTTCAGGACACATGCCACATCCCATCATATTGGCTGACACCTACCTTGTTACCATCTCTTGCCTCCATCTTTATAATAGTGTGCAGAGGTGTAGTGGTGGACTAATAGATCAATATTTCATAGCAGAAGGAACATTTAACTAAAAACCTAAATAATGTGTAGAGTCATTTAGGTTGAGGAGAATTTCTTGGTAAAGTGGTCTATGTATGCCTGTATGCATGTATGCCTGCATGTATGTATGTATATATGTATCATTCATCTATCTACTTATCTATCTATCTGTCATCTGTCATTTTTTCCTATTTCTGTCTGCTAAAAGGGTTTAGGAGCAGTGGTGTACTAGAAGCAATGAGGACACAATGTTTATATATTTGTTCCTGAACACCATACTCCACTAAAAGAAACAAAGGCCTCTTGGAGAAATGATTGTTTCTTGAGCAGGAGTAAGGAAAGTACATAATAATTATGAAAAATATTATTGTACCAGAAATTAAGGAAGTTCTTACAGAATAATGAAACCTTACAAAGGCACACAGAAGTCATTTTTAAAAAACCCTATTGACCACACATGGCTCAATCTGAGCACCATTACAAGCATTTTAATATATTGTAACAAATAAAACAGAATACTTGAGTCCATACTGAAATAAAAAATGTTTTTAAAAGTGGGGATAAAGAAAAGTTCTTTCTCACACTAAAATGCCCACTGATAGCTATCAGAGGAATGATGTGTGTAGAAATGTCACTTTGTAGCAACCATTATAATAAAAATCGATTTAGGTAAGAATCAATATATGCTAAAACCAGAGGGTGAAAGTTTAAGAAGCACGCAATTTTATATAGTCCACTGAATATGTGCTTACTACCAAGGGAAAAGGAAGAAACTTGACATCCTCATAGTAAAAATTCAAATATTCATTCAGGTACTTATGATACAGAAACTGAAAGTTAGCCATACATTAAACACTGATAATAGTATTTTAATATATTCTTCCAGATTGTTTTTCATGCATAAACTAAATATACTAAATTATAAAGATACCATACTATTTATCTTGACCTGACACATTTTTGTCCTTCATCATGTATTAATATCCCAAAAGGCTTTTAGTTGCAAGAGTATGCATCTATCCCATTCATTTTTTTAATTGTTTTATTATTCATATGTGCATACAAGGCTTGGGTCATTTCTCCCCCCTGCCCCCACCCCTCCCTTACCACCCACTCCGCCCCCTCCCTGTCCCCCCAACCCCCTCATTACCCTGCAGAAACTATTTTGCCCTTATCTCTAATTTTGTTGAAGAGAGAGTACAAGCAATAATAGGAAGGAACAAGTGTTTTTGCTGATTGAGATAAGGATAGCTATACTGGGAGTTGACTCACATTAATTTCCTGTGCGTGTGTGTTACCTTCTAGGTTAATTCTTTTTGATCTAACCTTTTCTCTAGTTCCTGGTCCCCTTTTCCTATTTGCCTCAGTTGCTTGTAAGGTATCTGCTTTAGTTTCTCTGCGTTAAGTATCCCATTCATTTTAATGGCTTCACATTCTGTCATTTCTATTCCAAAGCTTATCAATGAAAACAAAAATGACAAAGGGTGATATGCTGGGTTTCTTTTTTTACTCAGCTTTTTTGTAAGTCTCACATTATTTTAAGTTTATTCCTCAGTATTTTATATATTTTTGATGCTACTGTGAATGTATTCACTTCTCTTACATTTTCTAGCCAGTCATTGCACATTCCTGCAAGGGCTCCTCTGGTAGTTTATGATTCTTTTCTTGACTTCTTGATATGGGCATGTCCCCGAGGTAAGTTCTCGGGCTTTTCTGTCTGTAC